GCCCCGGGATTCCTCGGACGCACCCCGCGGGATTCTTTCCGCTTCCCGGTCCGCGTTGCCGCGGAAGCTAGCGGGCGCTTAGTTGGGCGGCCTTCCTCGGGTGGCGGGACTTACAGCCATAGCAACAACGTGCCGCTGCGTCCTCTGGGAGCAGAGACAGCGCTCAGTGCGCAGGTCCGCGCCCCCGCAGGCCGAGGCCGAACTACAACCCCCAGAATGCCTCGCGAGCTTCCCGACTCGCACTTTTGCAACCCCCGGCCTACCTCTCGTTTTTTTCATCCGAGTCATTCTTTCATACTCAACAAATATTCGTTGAGTCTTCAACATGCGTGAGGCCCCTTCCTTCCAAGGCTCAGGACATACCGGTGACCAAAGAGACAAGCTCCCTGATCTGATAACCCTTAAATCTACTGGGGGGTGGGCAATGATGTCTGTAAGAAAACAAAAATTATGATAAAAGTCCTTCAGAGCACTGAAACAGGGTAATGTGATAGAGACTAGGTGGCCTTTTAACTGGATGGTCAGGGATGTCCTAATAAGGTGACATCTGAGCTGAGATGAATGACACAAAGTCAACTTTTTTAAAACTAGGAGAGGAGCATTGCAATTAGAGGAAACCGTTTGTGTAAAGGACCCGGTGGAAATGAGCCTGCAAATTTGGAAAAACAGAAAGGCCAGTAACGCTGGGGAGAGTGGTGTAACAGGAGGTCGCAGAGGAAGGCAAGAGCCAGAGCATTTAGGACTTTGTAAGTCAAGGTAAGGAGTTTGGATTTCTTGGTTAGGCATGTAGTTTCTGGAGACAGTGCCTGGGTTCAAATCTGCTCCTTGCAAACTGTATGGCTATTTTTTTTTAGTTTTTTTAAAAAAAATCCTCATTCGCGGGTACTTTTTCCATTGCTTTTCAGAGACAGTGGAAAGGAGAGAGAGGGAGAGAGGGGGAAACATTGATGTGTCAATTGGCTGCCTCCCAATCGTGCCTGATCAAGCCTACAACTGAGGTGTGTGCCCTTGGTCCGAATTGAACCCAGGACCCTTCAGTCCCTGGGCCGATGCTCTAGCCACTGAGTCAGGCTGGTTAGATCTGCAAACTGCGTGACTTAAGAAAAGTTAATTATTCTCTCTGTGCCTCAGTTTCCTCATCTATTACTAGAAGTGCAATGATAGGCTACCAAAGGGGAGTGGCCTGATCTGATTTACATTTTTGAAAGGTCACTCTGTATAGTCATGGAAAAGCTGCTTATCTTCCCTCAGCCCCATTTTCCTCATTAGATAAAACAAGATAATGGCGATCTCCGAGAACCTGTAAGGTTTGAGTGACCTTCATTAATGTGTGCCTGCACCTGGCACACAGGAGAAACTCAGTAAGTTAGGTTTGTTCTATTCCTTCCCTCTCATTCATTTAGTTCCATCTCTGCCAGGACCCTTCTCTTTTACCAGTGACCACAGTTGATCTCTTCTAAAAATAAAAACTTTCTTCTCTGTGCAAGCTACTCTTGTTCTGCCTTCCACAGTCAAACTTCTCAAGAGAGGCTTCTATACAAGTGGAATCCCTTTTCCAACTTCATATCCGTGTGAGACTGGATTTTCTTCCCGTACTTCAGCCACAACAGATTAAACGCCGAGGCGGCCCTGACCCCAGGATCCAGGAGTGCACACAACTGTCCCTGCCTTGGAAGGTGAAAGCCCAGGGGCCCGAGGAGCAATCCCTGGACCAGCCGGCCTGCCACAGCTCAGGAGCACTCCAGTCACAGGTGCCCCTGGTCTCTAGCTGCTTCCATGCCAAAATCAAAGCCGGAGAAAGGCGGGTGGGAGAGCCTACGAGGGGCCCAGAGTCCAGCCTGAAAGTTAGGTCACTTTCTGCAGCTCCTGTGGCCACTTTCCATCTCTCCCTTCCCGGTGTGGTTGGGGCCGCCACAAGACAGGGAATGGCCACTCTACCCAAGAGGAGCTGCCCATCTCCCTGCGACCAGCCCTGAGGGAACCTTCCTCAAGAAAATTTCCCTCGGAGGGGACATCACTAAAGGGAAGTCAACATTTGTGAATACCCTTCGACAAGTCTGCAAGGATTGGGAGGTGGTTCCTGAACCTGTTGCCAGATGGTGAAATGTTCAAAGTATTCGAGACAAATTTCAGGAACTGACATCATCGCAGAAAAGTGATGGGAATGTTCTTCAGATGATGTATGAGAAACCTGAGCAATGGTCTTTTGCCTCCCAGTCATATGCCTGCCTCAGTGAAAATGCCTCTCTCAGTGGCAAGCTCAAAGATGCGGAGAAGCCTGTGTTGTCTTGTTTAAAAATGTATTTTTATTGGTTTCAGAGAGAGGAAGGGAGAGGGAGAGATAGAAACACCAATGATGAGAGTCATCGATCGGCTGCCTCCTGCATACCCCCTGCTGGGGATCGAGCCGCAACCCGGGCGTGTGCCCTGACAGGGAATCCAACCAAGATCTCCTGGATCCTAGGTCAGTGCTCAACTGCTGAGCAGCACCGGCTGGGCCTGTGCTAATATTTGAATCACCTGTGTATAGTGAGTGACAGGTATATTTTTGCAGCTAACTCGTAAGAATGTGACTGCATGAAGCAGAGTGGACAGTTTATCAAGACTGGCATGAGAGAGTGAATGACCAGTTTGACCAAAGCCTTGGACTGGATGGAATGATCTGTCTCTGAGCCGCTCTGGAGAAACGCTTGATTTACAGGGAAGAAATGAACAAGTACTCCTCGTGAATATTTAGTGAAGCTTCACTGCAAGCGTGGAAGCTGGCTGCTGCATAAGACACCGAAGACCAACTTTGATCTACGAGAAGCGCCTATCTTAACACGGGGTGTTAATGAAGATGTTAACGGCAAACACGATGGTGTCTTGCCAAAGAGTACAGGCCAAACTGATCCCGGACACTTCGGTTTTGTGTATGTTCGCAGCTCCGTATTCATACAAGTCTCGTTAGAAAACCCACATTTTTAACCACTTTTGTTCCAAGAAAAAAATTTAAAAAATAAATCTTATATAAAAGTTTATGATCAGCTTTTTTACTTTTCTTCTTTCTTTTTGGTTAAAAAAAAACCAACAACAACCCTAGCTGTCTTGGTTCAGTGGTTAGAGCGTCAGCCCCGTGGACTAAAGGGTCCCAGGTTCGATTCCGGCCCCGGCAACCAATCGATGTTTCTCTCTCTCTCTCTCTCCCTTCCACTCTCCCTGAAAAGCAGTGGAAAAAATATCCTCAGGAGACGATTAAAACAAAACAAGCAAAACAAAAAAAACCAAAAATGTTTAATTATCTCTCGTAATAAGGAGTCTGGAGGTAGATGGTTCCAGGATCAGTATAGTGGCCAAACAATATCATAAAGGACCCACCTCCTCTGTCTTTCCCCTAGTCCTCAGCAGGTTGGCTTTTCCCCCTGGTGCTTCTTATTTCATTGGTGACCATTTTCTTAACTGGAAACATGAAAGTTACATAGTAAAGGGTAATGTGTCCTGTGTCAATTAGTGCAAAACGTTGAAAGTGGGATTTAAGGAATCTCTAGAAAAAGAATTAAGAAGTTTTATTTTAACTACTTTTGACCCAGTGCCTCCCCTTCCACCTTAATTTATGTGGAAGATAAGACCAAGTTTGGTGTCTTATCACTTCCCTGATATTTATTAGTGTGTCTGTAACACATTTAATGAGGAACAGGTTAGACTTTGTTCTCAGTTGGTAATGGCATAACCTCTCTAAGTCATTTAATCTTTTTCCTGCTTTTTCCTGCTCACATCTCTGCTATGCGTGAGACTTCATATTTTTGCATGGGATTTTGGATGACTAAAGAGGAAGTGTTTGTGTACTTAAAAGATAAATGAAGGTGAGTACATAAGTAAAAAATTTAATTTATATGAAGCTTAAAATAGCTACCTGCTCTCTCCCTTCTTAGACCATTCTTTTAGAATGGAATATTACTATTATAGTTAAAAGATTGGTTTAGTCTATGATTGTCTTTAAATCACTTGAGATGGAAGTATAATTTCCCCCACGTCTTCCCATTTTTATAGGTATAATGTTAGTGGAACATAGTGAGGGATAAGTTTTCCCATTTTATTCTTCATTGGCTCTGCACTGGGAATGAGGAGTCTTCCATTACCTTTATACTTTGTGAGAAGTCAAAAGAGAAACTGAAGACAAGGCAGATTATCTTCGTAGCAGTTTAGTCTGTTTACTCTCAACTGTTATTTCCTACCTCATCCTGGTTTCCCTACTGTCAGACTTAATTAGGCAGCCTGCTATTTTCAAATCATACACTTCTCCTTTGAGAGCTTTATGATTAGTCTTTGCGTCATAGTTTACTTGCTTCTCTGTAGGGTTATACCTTAAGATTTTTTTACTCCCTCCCCCTTTAAGAGAAACTATTAATAAAAATGATGTTGCTTTATACACTATATACCTTGAAAGCATTATCATTTAAAATATGTATTAGGAAATATATTAATAAAAGAGAAAAGGGTAAAATAGTTGTAATTTTAAAAAATCTGCATGGATTCATTTTAGTTCTGTATATCATTAAAGATTGTTTTCAGGTTCGTTTGAAAAAAAAAAATGCAGAAGCAGGTATGAGAATCTAGCTGTCTTCTGTGACAGACATCAAAGAGATGTGCAAAATATATACAACACTCTTCTCACTCAGTATTTTTTGGGAAAATAGAATTACTTTTAGTATAAAATATGTTAATGAGTTTCTTGTTATTTTAAACTGCATTAAGGTTTTTGGGGTTTCCAAAAATTTTTAAGAGTATAAGGGGTTCTGAGACCGGAAAGTTTGAGGACTGCTGCTCTAGTCTGAGGACTTCCACGTACTTTCTCAACTCACTGTCACCTGGCTTTTCCTCCCAAGATCCCACCAACTTCTCTCGCAGAGATTCCCAATGATCTCCTTGCTCAGAAAACATTTAACTCCTTTCTTAGACCTTGTTTCCATGATCCTCCCCGTGGCTGGGCCGTATTGCCCGCCTCCTCTCTCTGGGGCATTGCATCACTGGTTTCACCCATTTCCCTGATGGTTTCTTCTCCATTTCTCCCTCTCTCTTTCTCTCTCTCTCAACCCCCCTTCATTCCCCTGCTCCCAAATGCGCTTTCTCTGGGGCTGCAGTCCCAGCCCAGCTGTCTTCTCGGTTACATCTGTCTCCATGCCATTTACTACTACATGCTGAGTCCCTCGTCTAGGTCTCCAGCCCAGACTGCTCCGCAGAGCTCCATTTTCCATCTGTCTGCTGCTTACTCCCATATGTCTTACTGGTGCTTGAAACTCGGCATGTCTACAGGGCAAATTCACCCAAATCAGTTGCTGCTCAGAATTTTTTTTATTTTTGTGGTTGCTACCACCATTTTCAACTACCCAAGTTGGGCACCTTGACTAAACTTGACAGCTTCTATCATTTCTTGATTCCCCCCACCTGTTACAGTCAACAAGCCCTACAGAGTCTTTAACGTCTGTCCCCCACCCTTCGCTTGCCTTTTTGTTCTGACTGCCACCATCCTAGTTGAGACCCTTTTTTTTCTCATTCGATCATTATAAAAACCATCTTACTGGCCTTTGTGTCTCATAATCCTTTGCCAACAGATTCAGAGTACATACGTATGATCTTGTCGTTTGCCTGCTAAGAAAACTTTCAATCAGCTGTCAGAATAAAGGTTCCTACACTGACATTTAAGGCTCTCGGTAATTTGATTCCAGCCTACCTTGCGGCTGGATCCCCTCAGGTTCTCTACCCGAACTCTCCAACCAGTGATTCTTAAATGTGGTCTGGGAACCAGTTGCCTCGTTATCTGGAAAGCTTTCTAAACCCAACGCTGGACCTACAGAATCAGAAGTGGGGCCTGGGGAACCTGCACATTTAACAATGCACGCTAAAATCTGAGACCCGCTGCCCTACTCTCCCGTCAGACTCAGCCACTCGGCAAGCCCCAGACAAACCCCACACCCTTATCTCTGCCTTTGCTATCCTGTGTCCTCCCTCTGCCTTGAATCTTCTCTCATTTATCTTTGCATCTAAATCCAATCTTTCCTTCAAAGCCTGCCTGGCTCAATTGCTATACCTTTCTGAAGTCTCCACTGATAACTCCAGTTGGGAGTGATGTCTCTCCTCTGACCCCTACAGTTTATTGCTTGCAGTGTGTTTGCTTGTTGCACGCAGATTCTCAACAGTTATTTACATAAATCTTACCTCCCCTACTAGTGTCCTGAGTGTTGGGACAGACAGAAGCCTTAGGAGGCCCACGTACTTCACACTACAAACCACAGCTGCATGAGGAACACTGGATTTATGAATGTGGAGAGACGACAGGGAGCTGAATGAAGACCGCAGGGGGAATGGAAAAAGAGGGTGAGTGTTAAAGACCCTGAAAACAGCTAATCGGAGCCCTTGAAGGCTGATTAAACTTGGAGTGTGGGTGGCAGGAGGAGGAATCAATGATTTAAATTTTAACATGGGGTTTCTAAGGAGATGGTCGCCCATTGATAGGAATAAGAGGGTTGGGTGGGAGGGGGGTCAGGCCTGTGGTGGGGATCTCATTTTTTGGCTACTCACAGCCACTGAACCCCTTTCCTCATGTTTGGGGAAATCTGACATCCTGTGGATTTCGGTGGCAGGTGAGAATTGGCTTCCCACTACAAATGACTGAAAGGTCAGATATTGTCTCTGATTCTTGTGAACTACGCCATGTGATCTAAGCTCAGGCATTATCAGACTTTAAATCTGGAGCACACAACACAACCAGCAGGGACTGTTTAGGCTCTGTCCTCGGGTCTGCGTCATCTAGTGCCTCATCCC